CCAGGCATGCGCTGTGTGACACCTTCGAAGAGGCCCCGAACAGTGACTGCGTATCATGCTGTCATGGAACCTAGCCGCTCCTCTTGCCCCAACGGAACACCAATCCGATTGTTAGATTCTGCTTCATGTTTGGTCAAGCTTGCTATAGAATATGTCCTGAGACCCCATCTCAATGTTCCCATCGGACGAGTCCAAAGAACGGCGGATCCAATGGAGGCAGTTTTTGGGCATCACACCTTTCTTGGTCAGCAACCTTGAATCCGGAGGACGGGCGGCGAAGTAACGGTGTTTATATTGACATGTGTTTGACTGCAAGCACAAGGGAGTGCCAGGGAGTGCTATGTTTTACTCTGTAGCCTTTCAAGCCAGGTTTCCAGCTGAGTTCCATGCAGGCAACTTTGCAGGAGACCCCGTGTGTCGAAAATCATGGGCGTTCCTTTCTCACTTCCGATTGAGTGGGCTGGCCAACAGAAGTTCGAAAATGTTATTTACCACTATCAGGGCTCTCTCTATTTCCCCTCAAAACATCACCCCTGCCAAGGGAAACTCACCTTCAATGGGCCAGAAAGGTGATGTATAAAAACTACCAAAACAAGAGACATATAAGCAAACCCCCTGACTAAAATCGCCTCCCTATTGAGAAAAACCTCGGCAGTCGAACCGAAAAAGGCCAAGCTCCACACCACCCGCGCACCCAGCAGCAGCAGGCGCCGAAACGGCAGCAACCGGAGCTGACACACCTGGCTCGGGAGGCTTGATGGAAGGAAGGCCACGCAGTTTGTGGGAACAGTGATGCTCAGTTCTGTGGGAAGCTAGGTCATGTGCGACCTGCTTTTTGTTGTTTGTTTGTTTGTTTTTCCTCGGGGGGAGGAGGGGGGAGGGATCTTGCAGGAAAACACTTGAAGGATGGGTCGTAAAAGCAATTCCCCTCACCACTGAGCACCGTCTTCTTGGGGATTCCCTGCGCCTAATTGCTGGCTAAGGTTATTCATGGTTGGGCGCTTGCCAATGGGCAGGGCCCTGCCAACATGTGGGCGCAGACCCCAAAAAGGTATTCATATGAGTTTGTCTCACTCACATTGATGGAACCCCCCAACATAGGCTGTTTTTTGTTGTGCCGTCAACACAAGGCATACCCGTTAGCCCGCATAAACAAGAGAAGCCAAATGGACCCCTTTGGTGAGGATCTGTCGACCCCTGACTGGGCGTCTCAACGTCGGAAGAGCCTTACCCCAAACCATCGGCTGTAGCCTTTCACGTCCATCCCAATGCAGGAAACCAACAAACTCGATGCAGGCGCTCAAAAAAAAGAAGCTTGGGACCCAAAGGACGGCTGCAGCAACTTGCATCGGCAGCCAGGGGCTGGTGGTTTCAACATGTTTTGCCCACCGAAGGTTCTCGCGCGGATCTCGGGTGCCTCGTCCGCGTCCAGATCCTGGCGAATGCTTCGCCGCAAGACAGGCGACAAGCAAACGGTGGCTGCTTCGGCAGTGAGTTTGTACAACACCGCCGGGATCCACATCGCGTTCATGGAAGGAAGTCCAAAGCATGTCGAGTTTCGTATTTGGGCGAGTCTCTTGAGAATTGGTTTGAAGGGACGCCAAAGGAACATCCCCCAAATCGGGGGTCCGATTCCTATTTTGAGACAAAGCCATTTAGGCTACTCCCGTACTGTTAGAGAACTCCCTGTTCAATTGGCTGTCAAGTCGGGCGAGAACTGAGATGGGGGAAATACCAGAGTGAGAGCAATGACAAGCAATACAATCCGTGCAGCCGTGCGAGTGCCTTTAAGGTTGCCTAAGTTCCGCACATTTGCACCAGCACACACACCCGTGCGCGCGAAGCCGACTGACCGAAGCGCCCGTTTCAAGGTCTTACAGGTGACTGGTGACTTCGCGTTCTTGGAGGTTTTTGGCGTTTTCGGAAGTCTTTTGGGGGGGGGTTCCGGGGCTCTCCCAAAAACTGAGAGAGAGAGCCCCATTTGTGCCCCAAATTCGCCCCAACCCATCCTCTCGTGGCCTTTTCTTTTTCTCGCGCAGGCCTCCAGCAGCAGCGACTCCGGCGCCAGGGGTTTCAGCTGCCCCTTCGCCTGGCATCGGAGGTTTCCCTGAGCCTCCCTCAAAAGAACGGGTGGCGTCGTTGGCCCGGTGGCTTGGTTCAGGATCATGCAATGGAGCTTACAGCAAGCACGCACTCCTGGTCCCAAGCTTTCCTTCCGAACTTCAGCTTCATTGGTGGTTTAGATTGTCGCTTTGGGGGGTTAAGAAAAAGTTTCCCAGGGGTTCAAATCCAAATCCAAACCAATCTAAACCAACCAAGGGGAACCACAAAGTGAACAAAAACCAGAGGCCTGCAAAACAGAATCACATCGCTCCGCCGGGCATGTCAACACGGAAGGGCTGTGAACTGGGAGGAGATCTGACGCAGATATTCGTGCTGGAGTGCGCAGAGGGAAACAAACCTGCTGGATCGCAACCTCGACCAATAAGGATCTGGTATGATCCTTCACCAGGGCCACTCCACGTCACCTTGCCAGCTGCAACTGAAACCCACCAGGAGACTGAACAGAAGATCAAGCCAGGAGCCAAGTAAGTCGGGCGCAGCAAGCGACTCGTGTAAAAGCTTGATCGGGGAATAGGCAGCGTGGTGATTCGCAGTACTGTATGGCAACACGGGCATGCATCGAGCAAATCAAGCAGCCTGCCCAAGTCATTAAGACGCGAATGCGAAGTGAACCAGCCATTTCGTCCGCTCCTGATCATGCCGGAAATGCGGAAACGCTCCAGAAAATAGAGCCGATTTGAACTGTAACGGCGCGTGCGTCCCCAAAAGTGGCAATGGCTGCATCAACACTTCGACCTTTGGCGTAGAGATGATTATCAAAGCCAAAAAGCCTTCGGCGGATGCAACAAGCATGTTGCATCCGCAGGGCACAAGGACTAGGGCATTTTGGGCCGCAACCCTTCACGGCCCAACTCTGGAGAGTACCTTCCAAATTTTACGATTTGCGCCTTGCGTTTAGTCAGCCCAAAACATGAAATGAGTGTGGCTCAAAATTAAAGGGCTTGAGGTTGCAGCAGGTTTTCATCTTTGGTTTTCATCTTTGGTTTTCATCTGTTGCCAAGGTGCCATGTTGGGCAACATTTGTTTGAGCCACGACCAAGTATATGGGTACGAAAATGGACCGCAAGTTTTAGTCTTTATTTTGGGGTTACCCTGTTTTTCACATAGTCCCTTCAGTCCCAATTGAGAGCCTCTTGAGCAAAATCCGGTCAAATCATCCAGAGGCCGGTCAACCGGCCCAACTCCGGTCAAATCCCCTTAAAAACCGCAGAAGTCAAGTCCCCCGCCTAAGCCGATCAAATCACCGGTCAACTTCCCGTCTAGAACCGGTCGAATGCCCTCAAAAAACTGGCAAATCCCATAGAAACTGCTCACTCCATCAAACTAAATAAAACACTGTATATACCTCAATGCCAGCCAAAAGCGGACTGGCCGAGGCGGACAACGCGAAGCGTTTACAACTTAGTGGCCAACCATAGCATCCTTTTAGTGGATTTCCAACTGAAGGTCCCCCATGTCCCATGTATCACGGACCTTTCGATCCCCCTCCCCCCCGAAAATTATGGCTGCGGTTGTGGAAAAAAAAACATGGTAACCCCGAGATGGGTTGCCCCGGCAAATGGAAAGAAGGACCGAAACCTGCGATCTCAGGCCCCGCTTCACCCCCTTTCGCGCCGCCTCCTCCAGAGGCCAGCGCCAGAGACGCCGCCCGGCAGCGACCAAGGCGCCTGGCACGGGCGGTTTGCCGACCCCCAGAAAAACCATCCCCGATGGTTGCCTTAAAACGGGGACCCTTGGGTTCATTTTTCACAGTGGGTGAAATGGACAGGATTCGCAGTTGCCCAGGACCCAGAAATACAAGGTGATCACCTTTGGGGGCAACTAAAAATTTGCCAAAAAGGTCAAAAGGTTGGCTTTGGGGCAAGTGAGTTGTCTCTTTCTTTTGGCGGGGGGGTTCTCTTGCTGGTGCGATGGGCAACAAATGAGGAAATGACCCCATGAAAAATAATCTTCTGAGCACCAGCAAGTTCTGGGCTGTCCGTTTTCCGATCCTCGAAAAAGCTACAAAGCGAATTAAGGAACCGGATGGCTGGGAACCACCAAGGTTTGGGGTTGAGGGTTCCCTTTGCATCCTTTCACCTTGTCTTACACTTGTGTTGATTCCCGCTCTTTCAGCTGGGTCAACGCATGCCCGACCCGCAAACAAAGCAAGAAGCGAGCTCGGCCGGCTGAAGAGCCGAAATTGAACTGCCCCCTATTGGAAGGCACCACGAAGTGGTTTTGGGGTGGCAACTTGGCTGCTATGACTATATAATTGATGAAAACATAAGCCTTCTCCTCGTTAGGTAAGCCAAACCTCATGCACTGTTGACCAAACTTAAGCCACACGAGTTGATGCTGCTAGATTGGTACAACGCTCAACACAGAGTCATTGACGCAAATTGACTAATCTAACATTTGCTTGCATTCTTGCACCAACACTCTCGGCATTTTGTGCCAAAATGCAACTGATGATCTGGCAAATGATGCCAGAGCGGGAGCGGTAATTGGAGCGGGAGAGAAACCTCAGACCGCCGGCTTTGCGCAGATCTGAATCAGCTTCAGCACGCCGAGAGCCACGCAGGCCAACAAGATCAAAGCCTCTCACTCGCCTTGAGGCGACCGAGGCCACCGAGGCGCCCGAGTCCGAGGGCTGGAGGATCCCATCGCAGCTTCATCTTCCGGACTTGACGAAGCGGCCGAGCTGGGGGTCTTCGGCGTCAGGTCTCGACTCGGTTGCAAAATCTGCTCCCCTGCTAAAAGTTTAACTCCTAGTGGTTTAATACCGAAAACCCATTAGTTGGCAAAAAGTGTTTCAGTCCCAACATCCCTTGGCAAAATGCACCAAAGTCGCAATCGCGCCACACCTCGGAGCCCGCAACTTGTGACCGGACTTCTCAGGTCACCCGGAAGTAGTCCCCCAGTTGGAAGCTCCGGAGGAACTCCCCCGGCGTTGGCTTGCCCCGGCTGTACAGCCATTCCTCGCCGTTTGAAAGGCATGGCCAATTTGGCCATGGGTCAAAATCCAAATCGTACCCCCAGTGAACATCCCAATCCCAACTAAAATACACTAAAATGTGTCACCTACCCCAAAATGAGATCCCAAAACGGTTTTGACCCACAGCCATTCGGCAAACCGGTTTTGGGGGAGTCGAATGCCCCAGGCTGAAGAAGACTGGGGTTGGCTCTGAATCTCAAGAGCGCATCTAACCACGACTCCGCTTTTCTCAAGCGAAAAACAACCCTTATCTTTTGGCGAAACTCGACGACTGGGATCCTTACATTATACACCTGAACATTGCCTTGTAAATGGTGGTTTCCTTGTATTTTGGTGGGAAAAGCCATGTTTCAATTCGGCAAAATGTATCTTTTAAGGAGCCAACCGCACATTTCTCCAGTGCTCTCCTCGTGGAGACTCGCCAGCACCGCGTTGTAGCAGTACAAATCCGGCGCCACCTGCGCCCGCGGCATCGCGGTGAAGAAGCCCAGAGCCTGCTGCCACTGCCGGCCCTTCTGGCTGGCATTGATGGCCGCCTCAGTCAAAAAGGAGAAGAAACAAAAAGGAGAAAACAAATGCCCGTCAACGCAAACACCAACCAACGCGTCTCCAACAAACACTCCTCTTCCGCCTGTCCCCACCACCTTTTTTTCCGCTCCCGAACTTTGAACTCCAAAAACAGCCAACCGCCCAACCGCCCAAGCGCTCAGCCCAACAGAGGGAGCGAGCCATGGGCCAGGCCGCATCGAAGCTGAAGAGGTTGGGCCGCAGCTGCATGCGCGGCATGCACTCGAAGAGGCCCAGGGCCCTCTGCCACTGCGAGCCCTTCCTCAGGGCAAGCAGCTGAGCACACGTGGAAAGCAAAAGAGTCATGGGGGCTGGGAGGGGGGGGGGAGGGAGGGGGGGGAGGGAGCCCAAATAAGCCCTTATTAAGCCCTCAATAAGGCCTTTTTTGGGGTCTTTTTGGGCTCCCTCCCCCTCCCCTCCCTCCCCCCCAGCCCCCAATGAAAAAGGGCAACCTCGTGCCCGGGGAACAAACAGTTGCTTTTGGCAGTGTGGCTTGTTGGCATCGCGCGGGAGCAGGACTGAGGTTTTTCTTCGTCACTGGATGAAGAGAGCAAAACCCTGCAAAAGCTGCCAACTGGTTCAATAGGACGTTCCCGGAGTCACATAGAAATGAATGACCACGACATTGCATCTAAGCTTTCTACAAGAGGCTGAAAACATACGTGAAAGACAGACCAGAACATAAAGCGCCACCTGTTTCGGGCGTCTTCCGTGCTCCTCCTTTTCTCCCCAACCAGGTAGGCTCCGTTCTGGCCGGTCCGCGGGATACTTGTGCTTAAGAAAGGAGACCAATCCCGTTTAAAACCATCCAACGGCAAGAAAAGAATCTGTTCATCATGACGTCGCACCTCAAAGAGAGATGCCGAAGATCCGTGAACCGTCAACATGTCAGCTTGTCAAACACGAACTAACATAAACACTAACTAACATAAACACTGTCATACAGCGGGCAAGTTGCTGTGTCCAACTGGAAATGAGGAATCCCCAACTGAGGGATCGTGACATGTTGGAACGCACAAAAACCCCTGGGCGGGTGAGTTGAAATTTACGCCCTGATAAATGTATGCGTGTTTTCACATTATACATATATTGTAGTTATTGTATATACATATATACACATATGCGCTAAAGGTCTAAAGTAAGTCTAAAGGCGGCGCAAGCAACGAGGATTAATTACTTCGGAGGACCTCTTAGAGCTTCACTCCATCCAAGCCGATGGCTGCAAGGCGGTAAGGCTACCCCCAGGGCAAATGCCAATCATAAGCTATCAACGCTATGCAATGCTGCCCCCACTGCAGAAATGTGGGTCTCAAAAATAGGGTAACCCCAAAATGGGTGGCCCATTTTTGAAGTGGCAACATGGACCAAAACCTGTGGTTTTTTCGTGGGTTAATTTTGACCCACACCCAAATGTCGATTCAAAACAGGGCTAGCCAGGGATCAGCCAAGCGGGTGTGTGTTGTTGAAGGAACCTCTTTTTGTTTGATTTGTTCGTGGAAACCAACAGGAAAACCGCACTTTTTACCAAGCACACCATTTCCTGAGGTGGTCCCGACCTCCACAGAGAAGCAGCTAATACCCTCCCACCAACTAACATGGAACCTGACGTTCGGGAGGGGTTTGGACCATTTTCCTTTCAAAGGGACCCCGAACGTCAGGTTCCATGTGAAAAGAGTGGGAGGGTATATGGCCATGGGTCAAAATCCAAATCGCGGTCCATATCCTGGTGGTTTCATTTTGACCCATACCCATCTACGCTCCCACCCTGAAACACATGGAACCTGACGTTCGGGGTCACTATTTGGGTAACTATTGTTGGGTGACTATTTTTGGGTCACTATTCTTGGGTAACTATTCTTGTGCCATTATTTTTTGGGTAACTCTTTTTGACCCACAGCCATATACCAATCCCTAGCGTCTCGCAGGCGCCGATGGTGGCGCTGTAGCTGAGCACATCCAGCGCCCTCAGCCGCCGGGTCTCCGACAGCCAGGCCACCGCTTGCTCCCAGCGGCTGCCCTTGGCGCAGGCGCTGATGGCTGCGCCGTAGGTGACCTGCGCCGGGTCAAAACGAAGCGAAAAAGACGGAAATGGCTGTCCATTTGGGTATGGGTCAACATGAATTCACCAGAAAACCGCAGGTTTTCCCTGTTTCCATTTACTGGGGTTCCATTTGGGGTACCCATTTTTGACCCACACCCGTTTTCAGATCCCCTGCGAAAAGCTGTTTAAACTTTTGGTGGTTAGATGGTGCGAAAAGCTTTTTAAACTTTTGGTGGTTAGATGGAAACCCAAACACTAAACCCACAGCTGAAAAGCTAAGGAGATGGCTGGGAGCCACCAGAAGCCCCAAACTCAGCAGAAACACACGGGGAGCAACGCCTCTGTGCTACCTGTCAGCAGTTGAAGCCTGATGGTTGGCAATGCTCTGTCTTTCTCTCTGGACATTCTCAATATTCTGTCCAAACCGCCGGAACGCAAGAAGACATTCGGCTTTACCAAGCCCTCCCCTGCTTTGTGTCTGAACTTCAATTCCCACTTTGCAACCCTTGCTCAACGATAGAGAGAGGTTCAAATTCGCCTCCCACTTGCCTATCCTCCCTAAAAAAGCGTTGCCAGCAGGGAACATGCGGTTGCTTCAGGGGCAATTTGGACAGATGCCCCCTTAGTGGCCCCTTCAGACCCAAGATCCGAAACCCCAAAAAGCCCCGCGCACGCGGGGGCCCCCATCGCCCCATGGCGCCGTGTTGGGCGCCACCCGCTTCTCCGGCATCAGCGCGAAGAGGCCCAGCGCCTTGGACCACTCCGAGCCCTTGGCGCAAGCGCTGATGGTGGCGCTCCAGCTGAAGACGTTCGCCGCCGCGGAAGAACTTTCCATGGCCTGGACGATCGACTTTTTAGCTCTGCGGTCCGCGGCGCGCGGGCGGAAACTTTTGGAGCAAAGGCGCCGAAGTACAGTGGGCGGAACCTTGGGGTCAAAGCCGCCTTGATGTCACTCAAAGCTGCACATTGGCCAAGAGGTTTGAGACGTCTGGGCGAAAAGTTGCACGGGGCCAAAGTGGAGTGGACCTAGAGCAAAACAAACCACTGAGAAAAAGCATTGCACTGAGAAAGTGGTTGTGTTTGTGCTTGTGTTTGTGTATGTGTGTTTGTGTGTGTGTGTGTGTGTCTTTGTGTTTGTGTGTGTGCTTGTGTTTGCGTTTGTGCTTGTGTTTGTGATTGTGCTTTCGTGGTTCTTTGTGTTTTGTGTGTTTGCGTGCTTGTGTTGTTGTGTCTTTGTGCTTTTGTGGTTTTGTGTTTTTGTGCTTTTGTGCTTTTGTGCTTTTGCTTGTTGTTGTGATTTTGTGTTTTGTGAGTTTGTGTTTTTGTGCTTTTGTGTGGTTGTGCGTTTGTGTATGTGGGTGTTTTGTGTTTTTGTGCGCTTTTGTGCTTTGATATTTTTGTGTTTTTGTGGTTTTGTGTTTTGTGTTTTGTGTGTGTGTGTGTATTTGTGCTTTAGTGCCTTTGTGTTTTTTTGTTATTATTTTTTGTGTGTGTGTGTGTTTGTGTGTTTGTGTGTTTGTGTGTTTGTGTGTTTGTGTGTTTGTTTGTGTTTGTGTGTTTGTGTTTGTGTGTTTGTGTTTGTGTGTGTTTGTGTTTGTGTTTGTCGTTGAGTTTGTGTTTGTGTGTTTTTGTGTTTTTGAGCATTTGTGCCTTTCTGCTTTTGTGCATTTGTGCCCTTGTGCCTTTGTGCTTTTGTGCTTGTGTGTTGTGGTGTTTTGTGTGTTTGTGTGTTTGTGTGGTTGTGTGTTTGTCTGTTTGTGTGTTTGTGTGTTTGTGTGTTTGTGTGTTTGTGTGTTTGTGTTTCTTGTGTGTCTTGTGGTTCTTGTGTTTTTTTGTGCTTTTGTGTTTGTGTGTGTTTTGCGTGCTTGTGCTTTGTGGTTTTCCCTGTTTTTGTGTTGTTACGTTTTTGTGTGTTGGTTGTGTTTTTGTGTTTTTGTTTTTGTGGTTTTGTGTTGTTGTGTTGTTGTGCTGTGTTGTTGTTTTGCTTTGTGTGTGTGTGTCGTTGTTTTTGTCCACTTGCAGCATGACAAACGTTCAGGCAATGCACTGGAACACCATGAATGACGTATCCTTCACCCATAGCCGCCGGATCCCTGATAATAGCCTTGTGATGCAAGGGCACTACTTGGCTGTGGGTCAAAAATAGAACCGAAGACTAAAACCTGGTAAATGGAACCGAAGACTAAAACCTGCGGTCCAATTCCTGGTGGCCTAATTTTGACCCACACCGTGGTGTCGAGCACGGTGATATCCTGGGCCTATGAGCTCAGCCGGTAGGGCTTGAACTCTGAGGACGAATTCCCCTGCACGTTGATTACGGGTTGTCCCACTTTCGCCTGGTCTTCCTGGTTTCAAGCCCCACTTTTTGAGAGTCGGAAACACTTCAGCCCTAGCATAAATGAACCGTGGTCTGCCCCAAAAGTGCGAAATCCAAGAAACTGGGGAGTCCGACGCCAGAAATGTAACGCCTAGAAGCTGAAACCGGTGATTCAATTCCGCCTCAAAGAGACTCAGGGCCCGCTGCCACTGGCCCTCCTTCTCACAGGCGCTGATGAAGGAGCTATAGCAAATCCTTGGGGGGGCAGCACTCGGGACATGTATATATATATATAATAGTATATGATATGCAAATTTTTGTGTATATATATACACACAAACATATATATATATATATGCTCACCCCCCCCCCCCCAGGGCCTACCTTTTCACTTGCACAGTCTAGAAAAACTGATAATTTCAACAGTAGGGGGTGAGCATATATATATATAAATATGTACATTTTTCTTTGATGTTAGACACAGTTTCCTTTATATATTACTCTGCTGCTAGAAGCTCAAACCAGGTCATTCAAAGTATCTCTTTTTTTCTTGTAGCAATGATGTCAGAAGCCAGTGAAATCTCTCTGGAAACGGCCCTGAATGCCACCAACGCGCTCTTCCTCAAGAACTTGTCCAAGCCCAATGTCGTGGACTTGCCTCGTGGTCCTGTCTCGCCTACTGACCTTCCTCTTGATCATCCCAAGGACAAGAGCAAGGCAAAGCACTTCTTCGACTTTGTTGGCCCTATAGCCTTCGATGCTACTTTGCAATCTCAAGTCAGCAGCGCGGCTAAGGATGGCCGCTTTGCGGACATGCCAGCGCCCTTTCGCTTGAAGACTTCTCCTGGTATGTCATATGGTCTTCAACTTGTTGTTCTTCCTCTTCCTAATGCGCAGCACTTCCTCCTGAAGCACATCATCTTCCCGGATCAAGTTAAGGCTGAGTTCGTCTCCACCCTTTGTCGTGGAGAAGTTCATACCGTTTCCTGGCAAGCCAATGCCAAGAATACCAAGAAGGCCATCCAGTACATGCTGGAGAAGATGGGTGGCTTCCAGGTCCAGTCCTTTGCTCTTCAGGCAAGTGGCAACGGTGGCATGCAGTCCGACAACAAAAACAACAACTTCTTCCAGGGCCTCACAGAAGAGCGAGGCACATGGGCCTAGAACCCACCACAGCAACACGCAGCTGAGATGGATCTCGAAGCAGTTCATCTCAGACGAGAGTCCCATTCAGACTTGGCCGGAGCGGCTCATCAAAGAAGCTCTGCGGAACCTCATGAACGACGGCGTCTTGGCGCTCCCTGTCTATGACTTCCCCCTCACGCTCGTGGATGTGGAGCCCTCGGTTTTGACTGTGTTGGAGGAAATCTTTCCTTGCTTCACGGACAAAGCCTGCGGCATGCATGGAGTCCCCAACGTAGGCAAGACGCCTCTTGGGCGCACCATTGCGATGGCCATGTCACGCTACTGGGTTCAAAAACTGAACTCAAAGAACGAGCCCGGCTTCCGCGAGGCCTGCGAGTTCGACTTCTTCAGAGGTGAAGCTGGTCGCCAAGATCGTCCGGATATCTTTGACGATGGCTCACTGGCTGAACAGCCCATGAGGAAGTTGAAGGGCTTCTGCGACGTGGGCAACACGGTCCTCACAAAAGAAAGGTGGGGCGCCGCAAAGTTCCCGCAGGGCCAGCTGCGTCTTTATATGTCCAACGACATCGATCTCGCCGCAGAGCCCTCCTTCGAGAACGCAGGGTATTCCATTTCTCACCAGCAGTTCATGCAGATGGTTGAGCCGGCGTGGATGAAGGGTTCGTCAATCTCTGACGTCATGGCGGTCATGAAGCGCACGTGTGTCTTGCTCATCACGAACGACTTCCTCTACTGGCGTCTTCCTAGTGAGAAAGAGGTGAGGGTCGAACGCAAGCGCCTCGATGAAAGTAAGTCTTTGTTGCGCAGCTCAGGAGGCTTGAAGTACATGCAGTACCGCAAGGGTGATCGCAGCGCGCCGGCCGACTTGGACCTTCATCTTCGCTGGGAACGAGCCTGGATGACGTCGATCATGGAGAACAAGGGTCGTGACCTGCCGCCAAGGCCAGTGGAAATCGATTACTCGGCATCGCGGAGGCTGTTTGGATCCAGCGGACCAAATACCATCCTCCAGGTGCGAGTTCCTGATCAGCAGCCACAGCCCCTTGCTGCAGAGCCTGCTCCATCCTCTACTTCAGCACTTTCCGCTCCTCCAGCGCCTGCACTCATCAAAAAGGAGCCGAACGTCTTCGCCCGTAAGTTGTCGGCCATGCACCTCACCGTCATCGACTTGGAGAGTCCGCCCAAGAAGAAACTCAAGGCTTCGGCTTCGGCTTTCCCCGCTGAGACCGAGATCGAGGAGATGGACGTGGCGTCTGAGGAAGATGTCTTTGACCACGGTGGTGACCTTCAGCGTAACAGTGGTGATGAGGCTGAGTAGACGCGGTGCCAGATAGGAAAGCAGTTTTGCAAGCGCGCAAGTTCGAAAAGGCCGATGCATTTGTCACTTGTCTGCTTTTGCCTCCAGGTATTGCATCACTGCGCACGCTCATTCTGACAGCATCTTGGCCCTGAGTCAGTGTAGCCACTCTTTGTTTTTGTAGCGTCATGCCTAAAAAAGTCATGAAGCGTGCGGTCAAGCGTCAAGCGCCTTGGCCTGAGCCAAAGAGAGGCAAAGCGCGCGCCAACAAGCGCCTAGCAAGTACGAAGGCTCACGCGGTCAAGACTCCGTACGTACGCCACGGCACCCTGACCATGAAGTCCAGGCCTCACAGGGAAAGGTGGGGAAGATCGGTCATGAACTTCTTGTCCTTGAAGGGCATCAGGCTGATCCACCTCTTGAAGAAAGACCGCATCCTTCCTGAGTGGAAGGGGAAGCTCTGCCCCAAATGCGGGAAAGGTGTCTTGGGGAAGCTCGAGTACAGAAAGGACCGAAGCCAGTGGGTGCACCGCTGTGGGGCAAAGAAGTGCCAGGCTCGCATTCGCATCGAAGACTTCCACCCCATCTTCTACGCTGGCGCCGGGAACTCAACTACTTCTTTGTCCACACAAGCCGCCATCTTGTTCTGCGCAGTCGCTGGTGTACCTCGGAACGCTACCCACCTGGTCTTGGATGTCGACCACAAGGCAGTGGAGAGGATCTACGCCAACAACAATATCGCCAGGGCCCGCTACGTCCAGAAGAAAGAGAAGTCCATCACCTATGGTGGCACCCAGAAATGGAAGGATGTGGAGGCTGACGAGGTGGACTTGGGTAAGGGTGAAGATCCTGATGCAGTTCGGGCTGATCGGGTGGTGAAATGGGAGCAGTGGGGAGGGCTTGTGGAGAGGGGACGCCCGAGCTCTTTGCGGCTGTTTAAGCTCAAGCCGCGCCTCACGAAGAAGCGAGCGCCTGGACCAGGGCCGATCAGGAAGCGGGAGTGGCTGCCGATCGGGCGGAAATTCCTGTCGAACAAGCATGTGGTGCTCCACACGGATGGTGCCAAGGCGTACAAGGTGAAGCTGCCGAATGTGGCCCATTGCAATGTCGTGCACCAGAAGAAAAAAGTCATCGTGCAAGGCAAGGTCAAGTGGGTCAAACCCCACTATACGAAGATCTATGACGTGAAGACCCCGGACGGTGACAAGATCCGCGTCAAATCGGGCACGCAAATCGTGGATCGGTTTTGGGGCTTCTTGCGCAACCACTTGAAGAATGTCAACCGCACCCCCGGGAGCGCCGTCCTGAGCCGGCGAATTCGATCGGCCCAATGGGCTTACTGGCACAAGGGTGTCAACCTGTGGGAGGCCACAGGCAATATGCTGCAGACTTTGCAGCAGTAGGCCCGAGACGCTTATAGAAACTTCTGGAAAGTTTTGCAGCACGATGCTTCTGTGAAAAAGCTCAGCAATCCAATCTGTCTTCCATTCTTCAGAAACAAGTAAAGGATTTGTTTTTTTTTGTGATTTTTTGGAGCCTGTGCAGGTTTTAAGCGCCCAAGGCTCCAAAACCTGCACAGGCTCAAAAAATGCAAACAATCCAAACCTGGAAGCCCCAAAACCTGCACAGGCTCAAAAAAATGCAAAAAATGCAAAAAGCCAGACCAATCAAGCCCTGACCTCTGACATTGCATCTGGGTTTTGCATTTGTTGCATTTCTTGAGCCTGTGCAGGTTTTGGAGCTTTCAGGTTTGGATTTTTTGCATTTTTTTGAGCCTGTGCAGGTTTTAAGCACCCAAGGCTCCAAAACCTGCACAGGCTCAAAAAAATGCAAAAAATCCAAACCTGGACGCCTCAAAACCTGCACAGGCTCCAAAAAATGCAAAAAATGCAAAAGTCCAGACCACTCAAGCCCTGACCTCTGACATTGCATCTGGGTTTTGCATTTTTTGCATTTTTTTGAGCCTGTGCAGGTTTTGGAGCTTCCAGGTTTGGATTTTTTGCATTTTTTTGAGCCTGTGCAGGTTTCAAACATCCAAGGCTGCATAGGCTCAAAAAATGCAAAAAATGCAAAAGTCCAGACCAATCAAGCCCTGACCTCTGACATTGCATCTGGGATTTGCATTTTTTGCATTTTTTTGAGCCTGTGCAGGTTTTAAACATCCAAGGCTCCAAAACCTGCACAGGCTCAAACAAAATGCAACAAATGCAAAAGTCCAGGCCAATCAAGCCCTGACCTCTGACATTGTATCTGGGTTTTGCATTTTTTGCATGTTTTTGAGTCTGTGCAGGTTTTGGAGCTTCCAGGTTTGGATTTTTTGCAATTTTTTGAGCCTGTGCAGGTTTTGAGGCTGAAACCATCAAAAAACGTAAGAAACAGGTGCGTTTTTGCAGTTTCCTTCAAAATCACTGCAAATAACAGTGTTTTTAACACTGACAAAGTTGCATCTGAAAACGCTTTCCGTTTTCGTGTTTGTTGCTTTCTCGAATCCTGTTTTGCATCAAGTATAGAAAGCACATCTGAGACAATATCAAACAATGCACAAAAACACCGTAAATTACAGTGCTTTCTGCAAGGCATCTGCAAACCAAGTGGACACTGAACATCTGCAAATAAATCTCTTTCATGCAAAAAGTAGAAAGGTAGGCCCTGGGGGGGGGGGGTGACCATATATATGTATATAGATGTATTTGTTGAACAAAACTCCGGGACTTGGGGGGCGACTGAGAAGGTCAGACAATGTGGTGTGGAGGACACCCCTTGCAGGGAATCATGATGCCATCCAACACGGGGCTTGTCTGAACAAGTCGGCCTGCCCTTGGTGGTCTGCTTCCGGCTGAATTGTTGTTCACCGGCAAACTGAAGATGGGTGTTCCTCGTCTGGAAGCACACTCATCTCGTGTGTGATGCGGGAGCTAGAACTCCTTCGCGATTGTCCAATGGCTTGTTGGTCATTAACTACAAGCAAATGTTCTTCAAACAGCCAGTGCAAAATGCTGGCAGAGCTCTAGTACCACTTCATCTTTGGCATTGGGCGTGCGTTTTCCAGAAGAACCTGCTACCCGTATCCTTTACCGTGGGGTCGAAGCCTGGGCATGGGTTTTAGCAAGCTACAGTACGCCAACGACAGCAAAATCCCTGACAAACATCGCTACGAAGACAGGAAGCGATTCGTCCTATGCGGAATGAAGAAGAGGAGAAGCAAATTCCTCTAACAAACAGTCTAACAATGACGCAACCCCAAAAACACCATCAGCACCTGTCACACAAATGTCCAAATTGTGTAATTACATGAAACGATAGATGGCGTTTTAGTATCGCCACAAGCCGCCAACCGCCGCATAATTCAGCCCCACAAGAATTCCTTCCGGGAAATCTAAAGTTTAAGGGTTCCAAGAGGAAAGCGCTGGACTCAAATCAAACGGCTCCAAAAAATCTCTCCCCCATAAGCTTGGGCATGCGACAAGCTCTCTGGCCATCTGCAAGGCCATCTCGTGTCCCAAAAGAAAACCACGGCCTGCGTCAGTGTCATAGTTTTAATGCGTCACTTCCCCCCCCCCCTCGTCCCCAACCCCCCGTCTTGTTTGGACCGGGCGGCGCATCTGGCGCCAGTGCTTTTGCCCTGAGTTGCTGGAACAGGCCCAGCGCCTGCTGCCACCGGCCGTACTTCGCAAGGGCGCTGATGGCGTTGCTGAAGCCTCACATTGCTGCAAACCACATTCAACTACCACGCCCGTTTCTAGCCATTGTTAGGGCACGCGGGCTGTCCACAGACGGAAACATGGAGGTCTAGCTGCATTGTTTGAACATCCAACCGGCAACTTCACATCGAGTCATTCGAGGTCCCCACCATCAATGTGAAGCAAGAACTGGCACTGCCTTGGCCCTCTCCACAACCAAAACATACCAGAAAATCCTGGGCAATCTCGAGAGCCGCCACAGCTTGGATGCCACTTAGAGCCTTTCGGAGAACCGCCGGAATAATGATCAGCCCGCTTCAGCCCGCTTCACATATGGTCCCCTCGTTCTCGTGCCTTGCGCCGCGTGGATGCGTCTAGTCCGCAAAAAGTGCGCAAGCTTCAGCTTCGAGGCTTCAGCTCGAATCGCGGAAACGGCCGCCGTTCCGCCCCATGTGGATGGAGGCGAAATCCATGGCCATTTCGCACCACCTAGGAAATCCTGGAATGAGTCGATTCCCCTGTAAATACCAACAAACAATGGTTTTGGTGGTGCAACATTTCGTCCATCCACAGTATGTCATTTTCTGACCTCCTCCCCCCCCACTTCCATTTTCGAGGGGGTGGGGATACTGGGTCTCTCTCTTCTGTTGAGACGAGCCCTTTTGGGGGTTGGCCAGGGACAGTTGAGGACCCCGAGGCCCATTTTGGAACTTCCGAGTTTGAGACCGGCGAGGCCCGACTGGCCCGAGTCTTCAGCTTCCGGCAAAAGCATGAAGAACACCCGCGATGGCCCTGTTCTCTGGTGTGGTGGGTCTACACAAAACCCGTGGTAAAGAATCAAAAGGACTGAAAGTCGGCCGCCCCCATCTAAGAGGGATTGCAAGTGTGTATTGTCCCTTCCTCGGCTCCGAAATGCCTGGCCTTCTCCCAAAAGACTTGGGGCTGTCCACAATTCCCACAGCCCCACAGCCCCATACCACCCACCCCCCCGCCCCGCCCCGCCGATTCGACCCGGATGGATAGGCGCCCCTGGCCCCTGGCGTCATCCGAGCAGCTGACCACCCCAGGGTCCAGCGACTCCGCCGGCATCAGCGCCAGCAACTGCAGCGCCCGCTGCCACTGCCCCGCACGCTCGCAGGCGCTGATCCCGGCGTTGTACCCGAAGATGCCTCGTGCCAAGACTCCTAGGGGTACCTTCCATTTCCCTTCTTTCCAGGGATCCTTCTTTCCAAAAAATATCCAGAAACCCGGGGAAAGCGGCAGGTTTGTGAAAAGAACGATGATTGAAAAGAATGGGGAATCAGCTTCTGGACAAAAGCTCGGCACTTGGCGCCTTCTCGTTCGTCGGCCCAAGGGTTCGCGAGTTCAAATCCTCAAAATATTCCCTTGACCCCACTTTACACCTCCAAAAAATCCCATCTTGCTCTGCTTCACATGCCAATCAAGATATGGGCGTGGCTCAAAATCAAACAGGAGGGGCATTACGCAGGTCTTGGTCCATGTTTCCACCCAGGGTTCCATGTTGGTACCGGTTCTTTGAGCCACAGCCATATCTCCTCCGAGCCCGACGTCCGGGTCGACGTTCCGGGCCGCTGGGCTGCACCTGAAAGCTCCGCGCGCTGGTCGCCAAAAGCAGCGCCTGCCGCCACTGCGCCAACTTGCCGCAGGTGGTGATGCCCGCCGTGAGGTCCCGGCCCTCCAGACGGACGCCGCCCTGCGCCTCAAGCGCGAGCGCGAGCCCGTCCATGTTTTTTCTGGGTGGCCCGATTTCGGATCCCGAAGTTTTAGCGGGTTAAATGGAAACTACCGCAATACACGAAAAAGCTAACAGGCTAGCTGGGAGCCACCAAGTTTTTAGGGGGCCATGGGGGCCCACAAACTATGGTGGTGCTCAGCAGGGAATGTCCCTCTGGGTGTTGGGAGTGAACCTAGGCATTTCTTTGCTGAGAACCAGCAAGCAAAATGGCGCAACGGTGTTCCTTTTCGTTTCCCCTGAAAGTAGGCCCAAAAAAACCTACCGCCAAACATTCATGCCCAAGACAAGGTGCAAGCCCTTTTTGTATGGTTTAGAGGGAAGCCGGAAAACCACGCGTAGGTTTCCAAACCGGCCCCAACATTGCCATGGATGCGATGGATCTGTACTCATTACCAGATAGAGGCACGTCCGCTGGATTCGTTTTTCGTTCCCCTGGTGCGGCTGTGCACCAGCTGGCCATTGGACTAGAGCATCCCCACCATCCACACGCAAAAAGAAGAACAAAAACAAACCAGGGCTTCGCTTTGTCTCAAGGCAAGCCACAGGAGGCGGCCAGTGGGGAACCTGCAAGACCTCACTTCGCGGCTTCGGGGGCTCTTTGGGTTCTCACCCCACCGACTAGGCGCCAGGATCTCCAGCGCCGCCAAGATCTGGTCGCCTTGCTTCCTTTCCCCCAAGCCCCGCAAGATCCTCGGAGGCGTGCCGATCAAGGCGTGCCTTTGGCTGCAAGATCAAAAGGAAGCCACCCCAGTTTGGGGGTCTGGTTTGACGCATGGCTGTGGCTCAAAATTAAACAGGAGAAATTACGCAGGTGTTGGTCCATGTTTCCACTTACCAGGGTTCCATTTTGGTACCGGTTTTTTGAGCCACAGCCACATACTGAAATTTGAACACTTACAGGTGAGAGCATAGGAGGGCCAAATTTGGCCAGCCTGACCAGCAGGCTCCGTAGCTAAGGCCTATCTCTTGGAGTCCCCACGGGAAGAACCCTTGGGGATTCACAAAGGGCCCCATGTTGGTGCAAACAGTGTGTGGAAGTGAAACTGATGTCTGGAGTTCATGGATAGTGGGGGGGCCCTCTCGCAATGTGAGCATCACATTGGAAGATTTGGCCTCGGGATCTAACTCCACAATCGTGTCCTTCACGAGGACAGGCCCTGTCGCTTAAAGTTTGCTTGGAATCGTCAATTGGCAAGCTTACAAGGGCCACAATCCCTTTCATGAAGAGACCATGCAGCAAAATGCGCTGTCCAAGCCTTTCCCCTCCCCCCCCCTAAAAAAAAATGCTAACAGCAAGCTGCTCTGATACCGCCATATCCCTTCGGAGAACTTCGGTAAACGATTATTCCCAATAGCGACATGTCGCTATGGCCCAATCCTTGGTTTCCGGGGCTGCCCTGCATGCGAATGGCTTCCAGGATTTTCCCAGGGCGAGAAGGCCGGGGAATGCGAAGGATTCTTGGGCATGCGAGTTCGATTCTCCCGAATGGGCCCAAGGACACCAAGGCAGGAGCAATCCAGCTGCGTGATATGCGTTCAAAGCTGGTTCTGCCAGACGCCCTGTGAGGCCCAAGAGTTCTCCCTATGTAAGCCTAACAGAAGACTGGTGTTGCTGTAACGGTTGCAGCTCCTTGGTCAACTTATGGGAGTGGAACCCAGGCATTATAACTCAGGTTTCATAGGGAACCCAGGCCCGCAGACAACATGCTGTTCTTCTACCTGGCTGGAAGGACAAGTGTTCAAGTTCCAATGCCAAGCTATCCCAGCTTGGAGGTGGACTCTGCACCTGTTGCCTCGAAACCCCCGAATGCTGTGCTTCTTCAGCAGGCCCCAGCCAAGGTATGGTACCTCCAAATGGAACACAACTGGTAGGCTTCAAAACGAAACCTTGGTTGACGTTGGAAGGGGAGCAAACAATTGTCAATTTTTGCAGTTCAGTGGTTGGATTTCAACCACTAAACCACATTAAGCAAAAATGTGTCCAATGTTTCCGAACAACAATCATGAAACCGGGATGAAGCAATGGCGGAGACCAATCAAGGGCCTCCAAAGGCAGGAGCGCGCCAAGGCGCTGCCTCACCGACTTGCCCCGCCGCAGCTCCGACAGGATGCCCTGCCGCAGAGCCGACATCGCGCGCCTCGACGGGATCCAGCTCCCCGGCACATGGCGATCAACGTGCCGAGGCGATCATCGTGGCATTGAGTGCCTCTGCAAAGGTTGCGCCCATGCATTTGTTTGACTCCTTTGTGGCGCATCCTGCGGTGGGTTGGGTTCTTGCAGGATTTAATGTCTCAGATGTTTTGCAGGCTGGCTTGCTTTGCACCCAGGCGCTGTCCGTGTTTCAGAAATACGTAAGCCCAACCTTGCAAGAGCTCAAGCAATGCAGGCAAAGCAGTGTTGAATGGCCCTGCTCGTAGAACAGCTCAGCAAGGGGCATGTAGCAAAAGAAGGTAATGCATACAAGTAGTTCCCAGCTTGCTGTCCAATTCGGCGCTCTCTGTTTCGCGTGCCTACGACTGGCCAATTCTGCGTGACTCTCACAGAGAAACTATTGGAAGACTTTTCAAGCTGCCTATTTTGGGATGACAATATCATATGAGTCGCCTTAGCCGAAGGACAAGAGGCTGAGCCAATTGGAGCGGCTGGGCTTGGCTCCCGTTCAAGCCGGTGGATGACTTGTGTGCATGGGCGACTTGTCGGCTGATTGGCCTCTGTTTTGTGGCCCTGCTACTTGCTTCATCGAAGTGGGAAAGACGACGATCCCCTTTGAAGCACCTCTCATTGAAATAGGCAGGTTTGGTCATGGGCATGTCGGACCAGCGGAAAAAGTACCCCTCCTCGCATCTAGCAGTGCAAGTGTAGGCTTACAGACGCCTTGCCCAAAGAAGCTGGGACAATAGCATCTTGCGTTACATTGAACTGCCGTGCAACATTTCCTCGTAGATCAAGATCACAAGTGCCAATTACTGCCTCCTGAAATCCTAAGAAGGCCAAACATCCCCAACTCCTCCAAACAAATGAGTGAATGAGTTACACTACGCTGCTTGTGTAATCCACAACATCTAGCAAACTCGTGCGCCTTGACCACTTTGGTGCCCATGCTTTCTGCAGCTTCCCTTTCCAACACTCCACCAAAGGAAACCTCCCCAAACCCAAACGTTCAATCTCGCCAGGAAGGGAACTGCAGTCCCCCGCCCCCCCCCTCCCGATTCCCGGATTTCTCCCGGCCCTCCGGCGACAGCGCCATGCATCGCAGGTCCTGAAACGGGAAGGATTCAACCATGGGAACCTCTTTCCACAGGAAAAAGAAAAAAGGGCTTGGGGAGGTAACAATCATGGAAGCTAGAGCAAGGGTATTGGACTACCATCCTCTTGACACTGCACCCTGTCCGGCGAGTAAGTCACCAAAGTGGGCAGTGGCCATCCAACCCCCGCTGTCGGCGTGCATGATTGTTGGAGGGAAAAACTTTGAAGCAAACACAAGCAGGTGAACCCAGCACTTGTATCTGTCTGTCTGTGTGTCTGTGTGTGTGTGTGGGTGTGTGGCTGTGTGGGTGCGTGGGTGTGTGCGTGTGTGCGGGTGGGTGGGTGTGGTGTGGTGTGGTGTGGTGTGGTGTGGTGTGGTGTGGTGTGGTGTGGTGTGGTGTGGTGTGGTGTGGGGTGGGGTGGGGTGGGGTGGGGTGGGGTGGGGTGGGGTGGGGTGGGGTGGGGGTGGGGTGGGGTGGGGTGGGGTGGGGTGGGGTGGGGTGGGGTGGGGTGGGGTGGGGTGGGGTGGGGTGGGGTGGGGTGGGGTGGGGGGGTGGGGTGGGGTGGGGTGGGGTGGGGTGGGGTGGGGTGGGGTGGGGGTGGGGTGGGGTGGGGTGGGGGTGGGGGTGTGGGGGTGTGGGGGTGTGTGGGGTGGGGTGTGGGGGTGGGGTGTGGGGTGGGGGGTGGGGGTGGGGGGGGGTGGGGTGGGGTGGGGTGGGGTGGGGTGGGGTGGGGGTGGGGTGGGGGTGGGGTGGGGGTGGGGTGCGGTGGGGCGGGGTGGGGTGGGGTGGGGGGTGGGGGGTGGGGTGTGGGGGGTGGTGTGTGGGGTGTGGGGTGGGGTGTGGGGTGTGGTGTGGGGTGGGGGGGTGGGGGGGTGGGTGTGGGGGGTGGGTGTGGGGTGGGGTGGGGTGGGGTGGTGGTGGGGGGGTGGGGTGGGGTGGGTGGGTGGGGTGGGGTGGGGTGGGGTGGGGTGGGGTGGGGTGGGGTGGGGTGGGGTGGGGTGGGGTGGGGTGGGGTGGGGTGGGGTGGGGTGGGGGTGGGGTGGGGTGGGGGGGGTGGGTGGGGTGGGGTGGGGTAGGGTGGGGTGGGGTGGGGTGGGGTGGGGTGGGGTGGGGTGGGGTGGGGTGGGGTGGGGTGGGGTGGGGTGGGGTGGGTGGGGTGGGGTGGGGTGGGGTGGGTGCGTGGGTGCGTGCGTGCGTGGGTGCGTGGGTGCGTGGGTGCGTGGGTGCGTGGGTGCGTGGGTGCGTGGGTGCGTGGGTGCGTGGGTGCGTGGGTGCGTGGGTGCGTGGGTGCGTGGGTGCGGGGGTGCGGGGGTGCGTGGGTGCGTGGGTGCGTGGGTGCGTGGGTGCGTGGGTGCGTGGGTGCGTGGGTGCGTGGGTGCGTGGGTGCGTGGGTGCGTGGGTGCGTGGGTGCGTGGG